GTCTATTGTTAATAAGTTTTTCCATTACTCTTCCTAAAGTGTTTAGTAAACTAACAGGTCTATAGATACCAGGGCTGGTCAGATCATTGTCTTTTTTAGGTAATACTTTAATGGTGGCTGATTTCTATACACTTGGGTAATATACTGATAACAATGAGAGGTTATATATCGCGATCAATTGTTCGAGGACAGATTCCTTGAGGTTTTTTAGGATTATGTTATTGCCGTCTTCGCCTGGTGTTTTACGTTTGATCATTTTCAGGTTTAATTTTACTTCAGTTAATGACATGGGGCGTATGTATAAATTATTTGGGTTGTTAATTTGTTGCAAGGAAACTGGGAATTTTGGAGTATAAATGTCGGGATTATTACTGACATGGTGAAAGTGTGTTTGGTCAAAGGTCTGGTGTAACGAAAGTGTTTTCAAAATACTCGGCAAGTAAGTCTGCTTGCTCGTTATTGGTTGATTGCTATATGTTATCGTGACAATGATATTTTGCATCTGATCTTTAGTAATTGTCTTGAACTTACTCCAAAGAACGCCTCGATCTGGATATGAGTTATCTATTGATTTGCAAAAATTGTCCCATTTGTCATTTTGTTGTTTTTATATTAGTTTCTTGATATTGTTACAACAACAGAAGTCACGTGATGCTGGTAACACGTGATGAGCTTCTAGAAGGATCATGAAGGCTCAAATGTTTGCCAGACGCCCTGTATTTTAGTTTATATAAGCCCGGCAAATAAAGCGGAAAGAGAAGTGACGGCATAGAGATAATAGCAGAGAGAGAGATATAGAGACAGATTATCGAGTCAAGTCGTAAGTAAAGTGCGTGAATCATTGTGAATTATAGCGTGTGTTTAAGTTAAAGTAACTGTGGAAATTAAGTGTATTGCAAAGTTGTATTGAGAAAGAATAAACTAGTTTTATTTAAGAAGTTCTTCGGAAAGAAATTTTACGGTAAATTAACAAACGACCAGAGACATAACAATATTATAGTTTCTGCTATTGATCATAGGTTTAAGCGCGGGGTTGTGTGTGCGGATAAATTCGCGTCTAAGTTGTCTGTTGAAAATTAGCCTATGAATTTCCGGTGTGAGCTGCCATGTGTTTAAGTTAGGGTTGCGTTTTCTGCTGGTTATAGTTACTGATCTTAAGTGCGTATTCATCTATTTCATAATGGTTGGATAGATTTATATTGATTGCCGGAAGTCGTTTAGTGATATTATTATTAAGTGTTGAACAGTCAGATTGCGTATAATCGTAAACTGGCGGTGGTTGTTGGTTGCTATTATTACGACCTGAGTACATTGCGAAGGAAATGATCGCCACCAATGTTATTGTGTACCTTAAAGTTTGTGTGTGATTGATTATTGTGATG